AGGGTTCATACAAAGATCATACAATACAAACAACAGATGACATATGACATAAAGAGGAAATTTACATTATTACATTATGTACAAATGAAAGATACCTAATTCACACTCTAATCACAGGACTCATATTGTGTGAACAGTTGGCGGATGGCTTTTTTAAAGTTAGATATGCTTGACAGTGATTTGATGTGTTGTGGTAGTTTGTTCCAAAGGTCGATTGCACGATACTGAAATGTTCTTTTTTTACTGTTTGTTTTTGGTTTGGGGAGCAAGAAACTGTTAGAAGCTGAAAATCTGGTTGAATATTTGTGGGTTGACTGGATTGGAACAAGTGAATCATATATGATTTGGGGTTCCTTACTGGATAGCACTCTGAAGAACATATTTAACGTGCTAATAACAAACTTGTCTTTGACAAAAGGCCATCCCAATTCCCTGTGCATCTCCTTAACAGGTGTATCAAATGATCTAGACAACAATATTCTACAGGCTCTTAAATGACGTGATATGATGACGTTCAGTCGTGTCCATCTACCAGCTCTCACCTCTATGCCGGGCTAAAGCTCCTGACACACAGTCAAGATCTTCCTCCGACCTTGCTCCCGAACACCATCCGACCACGTTCAACTTACGTTAAAACGTAGTCTGATATTTACCTTCGCCAAGAAGGTTATGTTTTCAGAGGCGTTCGTCTGTGTGTCTGTCTTTGTATCTGTAAACACGATAACTCTAATAATCTTTACTTTGTCAGTCATAAAGATTAACATCATTTGGCGAAGGTATGAGATCGTGGAACTCTAGTTCTTTCTATACGAATACTCTTAGATCTTTCTATACGAATCGAAATGAATTTGAGTTAAATTTGATTCAAATTTGTCAAGCCCCGAACACGACGCTAACATCGCTGACTTACTTCTGAATACGTTTGTAGTTGGCTGGCTTAAACAGCAGAATACCAGCCACCACGGTCGAACCTCCCGACTAACACCCGAGTAATAATGTTTGAAACATTTTGAAACATTCGGCTGTAATAGTAGCTGAAATCACCGAACACCAGCCGACCCAGCCGACACTGCGCCTTAGGCCACACCGACTTAATTCTATGAATGACATACTCTGAAGACCTCCAACTAGTGCGCGCGGGCGACAAAAAATCCGGCTACTAAACCACAGGAACACAGATTGTATTATGACTTTGCGGCAGTACATATAGCGACGGATACGACAAGCCGGCACATGCTGACTTTTTCGGAATTTATGAATCGGCACCGGCTCCGTACCATGTCGCTAACTACCATGGACTACCTAGGCCTAGAGCCAGGGCGTAGCCTCGGAGAATGTGATCTTTTTTTGGGGGGGGGGGGGGGG